CCAGAGGTTGGCGGGGGCCCGGGCCAAATTTTGTTTAGGGGCCCCTATCTAAGAAAATTTTCCCGGAAAAATTTTCCCCCCCCCCCCCCCCCCCCCCCCCCGTCGCCAAAAAATTTTCGGTCAGTGTACCATTTTAGGGGTAAAAAAAATTTTCCGGAGTACAAAATTTTGCCGGACGAGTACGTTGCAAATGCTTTCGAGGGACTTTATCTCATTTTTTATGCCAAAATTCGGTACTTAGCCCAAGAAAACAGATATCTTGTCCTTTGCGCGGAAATATTTAACACACAAAAAAGGCTGGGGCCCAACAAAAATTTTCCAGGGGCCCCCAGCAACTCGGGGCCCGGGGCAATTCCCCCCCCCTACCCCCCCGCCTCTGGGCGGCCTTGAGTTCCTTCGATATCAGTGTATTCTAAGATATGACATTTGTGTGTGTTGGTGCTATGTAGCTACTCAGGTGAATATATGATGTTTGTGAGTATCCCAAAAGGTCGGAGTTTCGGATTCCCTGCTGGCAAAGGTCTCTATTTGTGCTGGGAACTCGAACAAGAAGAGACCTCTGCCTAGATCCGACACTTCCTCAGTCCATGATCGTGGACGAGTCAAACCAGTTTGTAAAACAAGTTCTGAAACCGGTTTAGAGAAACAAATAGTACGCATGCTCAGAGCTGAATTACGCTGTAATGACATTGAGCTGGTAGTGTCAAAATGGCGGCTTGGACAGCGTGGTCATTTCGAGGTTTTTCATGTTGTTTGAAGTGCTCTAAGTTATGTAATTGATATTTTTAAAGATGAAACTGTGAAAGCAGTGACATGCAAGCAAGAACAAAAGAAAGCAATCTTTTCTGTTTTATCGGGCCGAGATACATTTGTTTGCCTTCAAACTACGGTAAGTCTTTGAATTACCAAGTTGCTTCCGAAAAAACCGATTTGGTATCACGTGGTGAAAATCACTCGTTGTCATGGCAATTCTTGCACATGCGCGACAGAAAACGTGTCGGATCTAGGCAGAGGTCTCTTCTCCTTCGAGTTCCCAGCACAAATAGAGACCTCTGCCAGCAGGGAAGGTTTCTGATTGGATTTTAATTAAATTTAATTTATTATCTATCGTTTGAAACAAAAAATGTAAACAAAACACGCGCATGAGCAGAACGGACTTGACAGCCTCTTTAAATAAGTCTATCAAAATATAAATCTGTCAAAATACAAATCCATCAAAATTCTTATAGCTAAGTCTATCAAAATATTGAGCTACATTACCATGACAACGACGTCGCATTTTTGCGACTCTATTTCCACCTTCGCAATTCCTGTTTAAAAAGCAGTTAAAGACACTGTCACACTATTGCGTATCGTACTAGCGTATGCCAGTGTATGAAAAATATCACTCATACGCCGGTATACGCTGACATACTCTAGTGGTACGTTAAGCATAAGTTGTATACGTTTCAAGCACGGTCGCATACGGTAGCTTACACGCTGGCGGCATACGGCGAGGCAGAAATTTTTTTTAAGCATGCTCAAAAATTTTGAGCGTATTCGGACGTACGGTTTATACGATAAGCAACATTAGGCACACGCTGAATACGCTAGAGGTACGTCAGATGTACGGTACTCATACGCTGGCATTTCAAAGGATTTTTGTGCGTATGAAAATTATTTCGTTAATTTCCATACGCTTCTCATACGTTTCTCTCATACGCAATAATGTGACAGGGCCTTAAGGCAAAAAATTATAATTTTACAAATTATAAATTAAATATCATCTTATCATAATATTGAGCAACATTACTATGGCAACAGACGTCATTCTCTCGGACTCCGTATCTACCCTCGCAATTCGTGTTTCAAAAGCAGCATTTCGAATCAATGAACGTCAACCTATTGAATGAAGCCCAAGGGTTGACCTTGTCGATATCACTTTAAAGATCAACCGTCTTTTGATTTTCAACTCTCTTCAGGACTTTGGTATCGTCAGCGAAACAGGTCACTTTTAATGATGACAACACGGCCTTGGTTAGATCGTTCACATATAGGAGAAAACGTACTGGCCCTAGGATCGACTTTAGGGGACTCCCAACGTTACATCTCGTTCTTACACATCTATCAAAATAGAATTCTATCAAAATATAAGTCTATCAAATATCTTCTTATAAGCCTATCTTACTTTGAAGATCAACGCTATCTTGTTGACTGCCAACTCTCTTCAGGACTTTGCTGTCGTCAGCGAAGCAAGTCACTTTTGATGACAATACGGCCTTGTGTAGATCGTTCACATATAAGAGAAAAAGTACAAGCCCTAGGATTGAGACCTAGGGAACTTCCGACGTTTTCTCTCGTTCTTATATTTATACGTCTATCAAAATATAGGTCAATCAAAATATTGATAGAAAAATTTTAGTGTATGAAAATATATGTCTATGAAAATAAGTCTATCAGAAAGTCTAATCAAAACATAAATCTATCAAAATATAAGTCTATCAAATATAATCTTGTAAGTCTATTAAAATATTGATTTACATTACCATGACAACGAAATGCTATTTTGCGATTCCATTTCCACCTTCACAATTGTTGTTTCAAAACAGTTAATTAAGGCCAAAAAGGTTTTTTTAACAAATTATAAAATAATTATCATTCTATCAAAATATTGAGCATCATTACTGTGGCAACTGACGTCATTCTCCAGGACTCCATATCCACCCTCGCAATTCCTGTTTCAAATGCAGCTTTCCCAATCATTGAACGTCAACCCACAGCCGCCTAAATCAAGGGTTGATGTTGTCGATATCACTTTGAAGATCAACCGTCTTTTGACTTTCAACTCCCTTTGGTATCGTCAGCGAAGCTGAACAACATGGCCTTGGGTAGATCGTTCACATATAGGAGAAAAAGTACTATCCCTCCTCTCGTTCCTATAAGTCTACCAAAATATAAGTCTATCAAGATATAAATCTATCAAATATCTTCTTATAAGTCTATCAATATATTGAGCTGTATTACCATGACAACGACGTCATATTTTGCGACTCCATATCCACCTTCATAATAGGCAATTCCAGCTTTTAGTTTAGGGGGGGGGGGGATGGGAAGTAAGGTATCTTACGTTTTGACTTTTGGCAATTCCTTTCGTGCAGCGGCCACTGGAAGGATATTCCTTATTTTAAAATGTTTGACGTGCACTTCTAGTAATGTAGTGTATCTTGCTGAGTGTATGCTTTCTGGTTTGCAAGGTGTTGGCTCCACTGCCAGTTTCAAGTCCAGACTAGCTAACTACAGTGAAACACGCAAAGAGGGGGGGGGTATCATTTTGCTGATTAGACTGAGAAATAAAAATGGCGCCCGGAATGATAGATTGTACTTGTAAATATTGAAATATTCCTGTTATTTCGGCAGTTTTATAAAAAATCTTCAGCATACATCGAAATTACAATTGCAAGGTTTTTATAAAATTATAAAATAAGTGTCATCCTATCAAAATATTGAGCGAGATTACCATGGCAACTGACGTCATTCTTCTGGACTCCAAACCCATCCTCGCAATTCCTGTTTCAAATGGAACAATTGCCATTCTTTTTTCTTTTTACAAATTATAAAATACATGTCAGTCCATCAAAATATTAGCTACATTACCATGGCGGGGACGTCATATTTTGGGACTCCATAACCACCCCTAAAATTCCTGTTTCAAAAGAAGGAAATTCTGTCAATGTACATGTATATAATAACTGTGATAGTTCTTACAAAGATTCCTTTCTAACCTGGAAATCATGACAATTGTAAAAGCATTCTACCATTTATTCTGGTTATTTCTGATATGTTAATGTAACAAACCCGAGGAAATATGGCTTATTAATTAATACTAGTTCAACCATTTCCCCCACAGACCTTGTTAAGTTTAAATCTATTATCTTTCGAAACAGGAAAATATCCTGTAGTGAAAATAACTACCGTTTTAGCACAAACTATGCTAGAATAGATTATTTAGCAACATGTAGATTGCAGAGCGATACCTATGAAAGCATTAGATTTTAGAGAACTCATGCATGACAGATCTCCACCTCGAGGAAAGAAGATGAAGACTAATGTGTATTCCATCGTCATGGTCATAGCTGTGCTATGTAGACTCTCGTTTATTGAAGGATGTTTGAAAATTGTTGCATCTTTTAGCACACCAAGAGTGTCAAGTAGCTGGACACAAACAACTCATTTAAGGTCGGTAAAATATATTTGACAAGGCGTTTTAGCAAACAGAAGCTATATGTAGGTTAATATATATCGGCATGCTGTATTATTGAGATAAGAATCCCAACTTTAAACAATTAAAACAGAAAACATGCACATATGTAAGTGAGAATTTTTATGATAAAAAAACATGTTTATTTATCATGTTTCATTCGCTACACGGCCTACTCTGGTCTAAATAAATGATTACAAAGTCCAGTCGAATTGAAATCAAGACCCAACGTTTCGACACTCCAGTTACTAGACTCAGGATCAGGACAGGATCTTTTTAATAGTTAATAGAGCGAGATGATCAAACTCTCGATATTTATCCGTCCGTTCATTTGTATCGCTTTATTTAACAGCTGCAGCAATAATCTGCAGACTTTTGGTGCGACGCAGTTTTCGGTATTTTACTGTCTATAAACGACAGATCTAGACGATTTTTTTCGTCAAAAAGAGATCCTACGGTTATGGCCTTAAATAGTTAGACTACGGCCTCAAATAGTTATTATAAAATAGTTAGTTCCCCTAAGGCGCTATATAGTAACATTAGATTGCTCAATTGTTTGTGTTCATTCGTATGCTTACTTTCAAGTCTAGTTTTTAAACTAATTTCCATAATTTCGCTGCGGTTTCTTTGACATAATATAAAATAATTAATAGATAATTTCTTTGCAATCTTTGTCAAGCTTTGCCTTCTTTGACAAAAAAACCCCAGAATAGCCGCAGGCGAAAATTTTGTTTTTACCCATCGACTGAAACAGACATTTTATAGAAGTCGCCCGTCACATTACTCTCATTTAATAGAGGTATCCCAAAAAAGCATCAACTTGTTGAAAAATGTGGAACAAGCAGCATCTTCAATATCAGATAGCCTGCATGATAACAGGTTGATAAACTATGCAGTGTAATATAAAGTAAATCAGGACATTTCGTCTCCCATCTCTGTATTTCAGATCCACAATTACAAGTCCACAAACGACTGATGTAATCCCTAAACCAACCAAAGTAAGCCATCAATTGCAACCAACTACACTAAGCTCACAATCAAGCATAGTTATTCGTCAGCCAGCCAACACATCACCAACAGACGCAAGTCTACCATCAACCGACACAACACCATCGCTAACCGACACAAGCCCATTACCAACCGACACAAGCACACAAGCAACGGACGCAAGCGCATCACCAACACAGAAAAGTTCATTGCCAACGGATACAAGCACACGACCAACCAACGCAAGCCCATCACCAACCGAGGCAAGCACACGACCAACCAACGCAAGCCCATCACCAACCGAGGCAAGCACACAACCAACCAACGCAAGCCCATCGCCAACGATACAAGCACACGACCAACCAACGCAAGCCCATCACCAACCGAAGCAAGCACACGACCAACCAACGCACGCCCATCACCAACCGAGGCAAGCACGCGACCAACCAACGCAAGCACATCAACAACCGAGGCAAGCACACGACCAACCAACGCAAGCCCATCACCAACCGAGGCAAGCACACGACCAACCAACGCAAGCCCATCACCAACTGACGGAAGCACACCACCAACAAACGAAAGTCCACAACCAACAAATGTAAGCCTACCATCTACCAACACAAGCCCAAGACCACAGCCAACAAATGCAAGCACACCATCAACAACCATAGGATATTTATGCGCAAAACCACCCAAAAAGAAACCAGTAAAAAAGGGCAACTGCTTCAAAGGTACGTACTATTTACAATGGCGATATACTATATGTAATTTCTATCTGCAAAATTTGGACCTAAGACTTCACCTTATATACTCATCATTCCAGACCTAGCATGTAGTGATCTATCTAAATGTTAAAATGTGAACTGAAATGAAAAAAATGAAATTTGCTTCATTTCCACGATTTTCCAAGTACCAAAGAATGCCGTTTACACACCGAGTTGTTTATAGATTTGTGAATATATGTAAATGAAACATCTGTTATTACTTTTGGATGAAGATCTTT